AAAGGAAAAGAGGTAGGGTGGACCCTTCTCAACCCTTTCCTTCTCTGCAGGGCTTTGTATTCCTAAGGATGGGCCCCTCCTCTGCTTGGGGATGTTACCTAAATCATGAAATGATATTACTCAAAGCAATGGAAACTTCAAAAGCACTTCCTTCCCAGTGCCTACTCCAAGATTTCTCTTGGCATAAACTGCTTGTTTTAATAGGATTAAGAGTCAGACCCTTGCTGACTTCTTATACTTAGTCACAAACTACAGAAAAGATTTTTTTCGATGGCTTTATTATGCCAAAATCTGTATGTGGGAATGCAGGCATCAGTCAGCAACCTGCCTTCTCTCTTCACCCCCTTTCCAACCATGCCTGGCTTGCCAACTTTAAATGGCAGAGTTATCTGGGTGCTGCCTGGTTACTGACTTATCTGACACATTCCACTAGTTGAAGTCATCTTGTCGCTATAAACACTTGCTTTTTCAGTGAGAAATATGTCATCTTTTTCTCTTTTGCAGCATGTCTGGTGAGGAAGGCAAAAAGAAGAATCAACAGCAGAGGCAAACTGTAATGAGGAGAGGAACAGGGCTTAAGAAACAGATTCTTGGGCGTACGGTATAAATTGTTACCTTTAGAGAAGCCATTTAATTTTATTCACATTCAGTCTAGAACATTTATTTTTCTCAATTCAAAATTGAGATTATAATCCAAAGAAGAACTGGATTGAAGTTTTTAACAGATGAATACTAGTGCCCTAAGTAATGTTTATCATACCATATTGCACTCAGTCCTCACATCAACTCCACATGCAAATTAAAAAATTTGCATTTTTAAAAATATGACCCATGTCATTTAGAATAAAAAATTCTATTTCCTACTGGGCTAAGTACAAGCTTGGCCTTCAATGTATTTGACAAATATGGTCCTGGTGTCTTTTTCTATTTTAATCCACTATTTCCCTATATATACTATGGTCTTAACTCTCAGCAAACTATTGCACAGAACTGTCTTAATCAATTTAACTAATGACACATGAGCTAGGCTATTCTCCAGTATCAAGGGAGCAACACTTTAGCTGTTTCTCTCAGTGAGACTATGTGTTGATTGAGGGTATCAGCTGTGTTTATTCACAAGCCCATGTACCGCAATTGTGTTTATTATCCTAAATATATAATTTAATAAAATATGAGGTAAAGCAATGAAGTAAAAAGGAGAAGAGGAAAACAGGAGCAGCAGCTATTACTAACTGAGTACTTATTACCTGCCAGGCACTGCTCTAAGTGCTTTAGGTTATATGAGAATGACCTCATATGATGTCACCAGAACCCTAGGAACTAGATACTATTATTGTCTCTATTTTACAAAGGAGGCACATTGAGCAATGTACCCAAGGCCTACACACCTCATAAGTGGCAAAACAATTTGGCTCCAGAGCTTAAGAATTTAACTTCTATGCTATACAGACTCTCAATAAGTTGTCTATGAAAATCGAGCTGAAAGCTAAGACAAGACTAGGTAAAGATGAGTCATACAGATACTCACAATTATACTCCACTCTACCTTGTATGTGAAAGTAGCCATAGATAATACATAAACAAGTGAGCATGGCTGTGTTCCAATAAAACTTTATTACAGAAACAGGTAGCGGGCCAGGACAAGATTTAGCCCTTACACTGTAGTTTGCAGATCCTTGAGACCCACATTCCAAGAAAAGACTCCTGTTAAAAAAATGGCAAAAATATGTTTTTATGTTTTAAGTTAAAATATAAAATGCTTAAGGCCTACGGGTAACTAATATCTGTATCATTCCCTGCTTTAATTTACTTTTTTTCAGCTAGCCATTACTAGCCCTAATTGCATCAGATAAGAGTATAACTCTTGTCTTAAACTTGGAAAGCCATGCCTCCTCACGTCTATTTGGAATCCCAATCCCAAACCTACATTCAATTCATAATCCTAACACCACACTTAAGATCTAACTTGGTTATAATTTTAAACTATTCGTTTTAAAATCATTCACCAGAGCAGATTAATATAGGTATACCTGTATATAAACACTATCATCTCTGTAGCAAAACTGTTAATAATTCTAAAGGAATTGTTAAAATTAATGCTTTCTGATTAATCTTCAGGGGTGTCAATACATTTCACAAATACATCTAAAAGCTATACACTTAAGCAAAACAAACAAAAATGCTTTATTCAAACTTGAGACAAGGTGGTGCCTATTTATCTCTGTATCCCCAGCAGTACTATTTCATGGATGTCTGATAGTGTTTAGGGAGCCTGGCCCAAGCTCAGAGAGAGTTAGAAGGGCCGGGACGGGAATTCTGATTTCCTAATTCCTAGTCCACTATTCTACTTCAGGAAGACAGTGGCTTTTTTAGGTGCACTCAATCCTGCAGTCCAAAGCCTGGAAGACCGGGCTTCCCTGGTGGTCTAGCGGTTAAGAATCTGCCTGCCGATGCAGGGGACATGGGTTCGATCCCTGGTCTGGGAAGATCCCACATGCCACAGAGCAACTAAGCCCATGTACCTACTGAGCCCGCAGTGTACAGCCCATGAGCCCCAGCTACTGAAGCCCACACGCCTAGAGCCCATGCTTCGAAACAAGAGAAGCCCTTGTTCTCCACACCTAGAGAAAGCCTGTGTGCAGCAGTGAAGACTCAGGACAACCCAAAACAAAAAAAGTTAATAAACAAAATATTTTTTTAAAAAAAGCCTGGAAGACTGAGGAAGCCTCACCACTGTCTTCTCCTTTCTCCCACTGCCAATCAGAACCAGCAGCTGTGTCCTACAAGGGCAAACTAGCGATGCATATTTGTGGTGTCTCTATCACTAAAAAGGCTGATCCATGATCCAGATTTTAAGATTCTTGCCTATCTAGAAAGGCAACTTAAACACCCTGGATATTCATGTTCACCTAAAACTTATCACAACATTGTTAATCAGCTATATCCCAATACAAAATTAAAAGGTTTTAAAAAAAATGCTTTGCTGAAAAAACACTCCCAACTCAAGAACACAAGATAAGTGCTCACTGGTCCCCTTTAGCATTTTTAAAAAAGCATTATTCAGATGCTGCAGGGATGGAATGACAAGAAACAGTCCTAGGGAGAGGGGGGTAGAAAGAGCTGTTACTTATGTAGATTATTCTTCCCCTGCACCCAGAGTAGCCAAGCTCACATTCTAAAGACAGTTACCACAAAAGATTCCAGTTCCAGTGCTTAGCCTCCAGTTGCATCATTGCTTTAACACTGTCAGCCTTCATGGCTTTAACCATCTTAATCTGTAAAATAAACACAGGAAGCAGACAACAGTCCTGTCCCTCCATTTAACAGAGGAATACTAGAACAAAAATTAGACCTACATATAATATTTCTAGCTATCCCATTCCTCTTTTTCCCCCTCCCCTAAAGCTTTAAACAACTTAAAGTCATCTTCAATTGACAAAAGAGACTAAGCTACCCAGACAGTTCACAGCTAGTACAGCACTTTTATCTTTTTGGAAGCTACTTACACAAGGCAAGAGCCATTGCTGGGCTCTCTGGGTCACATGGGGGAAAAAAAAAGGCTAAGAGAGTAAATTAAAGCATAAGGAAACAAGGCTGAATTACAGTACTCAGTCTAACAAAGAGTAAATGAGAACCCATTACAGGCAAGAGAGCATAGCGCTCTGCGACACAGGAGACACCACGGTGAATAAAACTGTCACCATCCTTGAGGAAAACTGTGTAATACAGTTTATTACACAAACTGTAATAAAAAGCAGAACAAGCTAAGTGCTAAGAGGCATTAAATCTCTGGGAAGGAGTTACCAACCACTTCGCTCCATAGTTCATAGTTCATAGTTCATGCTAACAGATTAAAACTTTCAGGTAAGGGTGATTGAGATCTGTGTAAAAAAGCTAAGGCGGGACATGATCTGCTTATCCACACCTCCTTCGGCTAAGTTAGGCCCACCCAGGAATTGTTCCAAAAATGACACCAGGTTAACCAAAGAAATGCTTATATCAGATAGAGAGGGTGGAAACTGGAGAGAAGTCGATAACAAATGATGTTGACTTAGGTTTGTGGCAAGAAGATTAAGCAAAACCCAGGCCAAGGTTGGGGCCAGGGATTTTCAGCTTCTGAAGTTTCCTCCTCTCCATCACCCGCCCCCAGAACATCCCAGCTCTCCTGCTCCTCACCTGTGTAGGTGGACACTCGGGAAGGAACTTCTCTCCAGAGGTAAGCCCATTCTGTGAGAGTACACAGTACTTAAGGGTTGATAACATTCTTGTTGACCAGGCAGCTCCCTAAGTCCCTAATCAAGAAACCAGGGATCCGGCCCCAGTCAGCCCTTTACTCTGTGTGACCTCGGACTAGTCATCCAAGTGCTGAGTTGCTGTCTTTCCATATTCGTGAAGTCTGGGATTACGAGGAGACTGGGGTTGAATTGGATGACCTCTGGGAAGGTCTTAAAGCTTCTTGACCAGCCAGCACACTGAAGCACTGGACAAACAGTTCGTTGAACAAATAGCGAGGGCGGCCACAGGGAACAAGCGCCAGGGGGAATCAGACTCGTTTTATGGACAGGGAAACGGAGGCACGCAACATCCTGACCCAAGGTCACTCCAGTTATGTCCCAAGGGGGCTGGGCCGAAAGCTCAGGTCTCCAGACCTCCGGTCCCGGGCCCTTTCTCCTTTCGCGGAGCAGAGAAGAGTGGCGTGGAGGTCCCTGTCCCGGAGAAGAAAGGACTGTGTTCGTGCCCGGGTTGCGAGAGGGGCAGAAGAGGCCTTACCTTTCCAGATCGAGTCCCGCCACCGGTGCCTCTCTCTCAGGTCCTTAATCCGTCACACCTCCAGGACTCTCCAGAAGCCCCTCCACTTCTGACCCTCGCGACGTGTCCGAGACCGCCACCGAAGCGTCGATTCCCGCCCCTACCCCGCCCCCTGACTCGCTGGCCAATCGCCGCCCAGAGTTTAGGAGCGCCTGCGGTTCTCACCGCCTCTGAGGGCTGGAGAAACTTACGTCTCTCATCAGGCCTCGCCCGCCAGGTCCTCTTATTTGCCTTTGCTCCACCTTCTCCAGAGCCTAGTCTCCTCCCGGCCCAATAACCATGCGAGAGTTCGTCTTGCCGGAAAGCAGCACGCCGCCACGGCATTTTACGACGTCGGCGTTGAAAGTCTCTGGAAACGCTCCGACTTCCTCCCCGAAGCGGGGCGAAAGGCGGCGCGATGTTCGGTGCGAGCGACGAAGACGATACCGACTTCCTCTCGCCTAGCGGCGGGTGAGTGCAGAAGCGTGGGGCAAGAGGACGTGGCTGAGAGCCTGGCAGAGCGGTCGGAGGGGGTCGCTCTCTTTTCAGACCTCTTCCCAACTTCCGGGTCCAGAGACCCTTGCCACATTCCGGTGCTCTACAGGTTCCAGAATCTGGGCAGAACTGAAACTGTGCTGAGTCTGTCCACCCGGATTCTGGACCTGACATCTCCCCTAAAGCTCAGTATGACCATAGGGTTGGAACTTTTGCTTTCCGGGTCACAGTTTCTCCTTCTGTGAAATGGGTATGATTGTTGATAAAAATACCTAAGAATTTTTATGAGTCCACCGGTGCCGATATGAGACTTTCTCTGCTCCGTGGAGAAGACGTTGACTCTTCAGGATTGGCTCTGGTGGGTCAGCTTCAGCATCCTTTAAGGCCTAGCTCGGATGTCACCTTTCCGGTGGTTTCCTTTCTCCCACGGCCCCAGGCAGAATAAATTGCTTTCTTTTTCTTATCCCCACACCTAGGTGTGTTTACCTTTATCTTTGCACACCGAACCTACTAGATTATAAGCCCTAATAGGACATGGACTGTTAAGTCTGTTCCTGTTGTCCAGCGCTCAGCACAGTACCTGGCACATAGTGACTGCTCTAGGAGGTGCCTACTGAGTGAATTATAACTGTAAAATTGCTCTCTAAAGCTTAGAGCCCATGTAAGAAACTGCAATTGCTGTCCCCTGTCCCCAGTGTGTATATATATATGTATATATACATACATATACATATACACCATTCTGGGATACAGGTCTTCAAGAGGCAGGGCCTTGTCTCTTCCAGAAATCATTTTAACCTTTATCCTTGTGATGTGTCGGTAGACAGCTTGACTGCCTTCAGACTTGTGAACTGCCAAATTCTGATGTTTGCAGAGCCTTCCTTTGAACATCTGTTTAACCAGTTCTGGCCTGGAGAATTCCATGGACTGTATAGAGTCGGCGCAGAGTCCGCAGGGACTGAGACTTTCACTTTCTCTGAACATCTGTTTAACCAATTTAAGAAGGTACCGAAGAGTGATGAAAACACCAGTATACAATCCTACAATCCTTATTCTACTAAATACTTGAAAGTGAAAGTGAAGTCGCTCAGTCGTTTCCGACTCTTTGCGACCCCGTGGACTGTAGCCTACCAGGTTCCTCCATCCATAGGATTCTTCAGGCAAGAATAGTGGAGTGGGTTGCCAGGGGATCTTCCCAGCCCAGGGATCAAACCCGCGTCTCCCGCATTGGGGACAGAAGCTTTAACCTGTGAGCCACCGAATGCTTAGAGGTTACAGAGATGATTAAGCTTCTCTGTGTGCCCTCAGATTGCTTCTAGTCCTGGTGGAGAGTTCAGTACATAATTGACATAAAATGGCACTGGCTCTGTTTTGCTCTTAAATAGGATCTTTTGACTTACACAGTGACTAGTTCTATATTAGCCATCCTTAGTTCTCTTTTCATTCTCACTGCCCTGTTCCACCCCTGCCCTCACTTTGGATGGCCTGCATCCACTTAGTTTCATCTTGAGTTCTTTCGGTTGCTCAGTTATTTTAGAGTTAAGCAATCTTTGGTTCCTTTTTTTCCTACTCCACCCAAAGCATTCGCCAATATTTCCACACATCCAGCCTGCTGCTGTTGATTGTGTAGTCAGCCATTTGGATGAATGTTTTTTTCTTAACAACCTGTTTTTTAAATGGCTGTACCTTTTGAAAGTTTATAAAGTATACTTTAGATTCACATTCTTCACTAGGTGAAAGTGGTAGAGGGAAGTTTAAATGAATGTTAGCATTCCCAACTTTTTTTTAAATTTAATTTTTATTTTATATTGGAGTATAGTTGATTGGTAATGTTCAGATTCTTTTACCATATAGGTTATTAAATTAGAATATTGAGTAGAGTTTAGGGCTTCCAACTTTGGTGCAGCAAACACTGCTGACTGAAAATTCCTGGATAGATAATGACAGTCATGTGCTCTTCCCCAGGTTCCTGGCCTGAGATAAGTTCTTGGTGGCTCAGCTATGCTGCTTTCCTGTGCAGGCTTTTCAAGGACTTGAGAAGCTAGTTGTAGGCATGAGACTCTGCCCCTAAACACAGACAACAGCTAGTTGAATGAAAAAAGGCTTAGTAAACAAAGGTATACAGAGAACTTTTAAGTTTAGGGTTGAGAATACAGAAAGTTTCACTAGCATTTCCTGATTCAGCTATTCCTATTCTGGTTCCCTGTAAGGAAGTAGAACATATGACAGTGAGCACTGCGGCTGCTTTTCAGTTCCTCTTGTATATTACTTATAATTTGTGAGTATTATCCACTAAAAAAGATGCACAACTTGAGAGTTGTGAGTTAAGTTTCATTTGGGGCAAAACGAGGACTGCACCTCAGATAGCTCTGAGATACTGCTCAAAAGAGGCATTCAGGGAAGGTCAACATATAAGATTTTGGTGAAGGGGGACTTCAATGCAATCAAGCTTACTTTACAAGAGGTTTTCTGATAGTTGAAAGGATCTGATGTCATCATGAAGGGATTTAGTGCTTTTCTAGATATGAAGAGATGATGAGATTGGGATCATGAAATCAGTTACTGAAAATACCCAACTATCTAAAGACCTGTCTCACCAGATATCCTAGAGCACAGCGTGCCTCACTCTGCCCTGAACTCCCTCAAGAGCTGTTGAAGGTCAACAGCTGGAGCAGCACAGGGCTCAGTCCCCACGGAGGCAGTGGCAAATGCCCTTGTTGTTGTCTCTGGCAATACTCTTGGCAAGAGCCAGTTGGTAGTTGACGGTATCTTGACTTCCCTGTAGCTCAAACGGTTAAGAATCTGGCTGCAATGAGGGAGATCAGGGTTCAATCCGTGGGTTGGGAAGACCCTCTGGAGAAGGGAATGGCAATCCACTCCAGTATTCTTGCTTCGAGAATCCCATGGACAGAGAAGCCTGGCGGGCTACAGTCCATGAGGTTGCAAAGAGTCGCATGCATGCATGACTTAAATGTGTGATTTACTTGATTCTATTTAAGATAGTCAAGCCTAAAAGAAGTGGGGTGCCTAGGATGGCTGTCTAGATGATGAATAATTTGTGTTCCAATTTTTCAGTCCTCTTGATCCACGGTTAACCTAGAAGAAGTAAAGTAATAATCAGGAGGCTTTTGTTTTTTGGTCTTGGCCCTTTCTCCACTATGAGACTGAAATGAAGAAATATGTGAATGTCTACCAGGTGTATGGTACTTGGTTTCAGCTGACAAAGATAGGAATAAGGCACAGTTCCTACCTCTAGAAAACTTCCAGTTTAGTAATGGAATGAAACAATCCAGTAATAATAATCAGAAAGCATTTTTAGGGGGCCAGTAATATATATATTTGTATTTTAGATTATGTAAAAGTTTTATGTAGGCAAATCTGATTAGCATAGTAATGATAAATCCCCATTGTAGAGGTAGAAAAAGGAAATTTAGAACTGATCATCAGAAAGCATTTTCAAGTTCTATAAAAGATATGGAAAAGCCTGGATTCTTAGGTCGATTCTGCCCCCAGTTAGGAATGTGACTTTGAAGTCACTCACTTCCCATCCTTGGCTCTCCATACCCCAGTCTATTAAATAATGGGGTTGTTCTCGGTGACCTTTGAGACTTTTCCCAGTCTCGTAGCTTTGTGTTTATGCTGATATCAGTTCATAGTTACAGGTCAGCTTGTGCATCGATCAAGCATGCTTTCTTCCTTCTAGGGGTATCTGAGTTGAATCGACACTTTTAAGGTAGTAGGATGTGTACACCTGTGTATAAGACATATTGTGTACTTACTGTGTTGTGTGCCAGGTACTATACTAAGTATGACATATGCCATATTGTATTAATTTCTCTCTACTACTCTCTGAGGCAGTTTTTACTGTTATTCTCATTTTGCAGATAAGCCTCAGAGAGGTAGGTTGCCCATGGTCAAACAGCTAAAAAGTAGAAGAACCTGGATTTTAAATCAGGCAAGCAGATTTTATATGCCTGACTACCCATGTGCCTTCTTATTATAATAGAAGTAAATGTTTGATACCACAGTTTGGAAAAGAAGTACTTTAACAACAAAAAGAATCCTCATTTATTAAAATATATTGATATATCCTAAATGTGTGTATTTCTGTTTTGAATGTAAAAAGAAAAGGAATATAAAACTCAAGTTAGATAAGGACTTCGCTACCTAAATGCATTGGCTAGCATTTACTTTTTAAATGTGATTAATGCTGTAATGACTTTTCCTATGAATTATAAACTTAGAGACTAAGGTCCAGAGTTAGCAAACTCATTCTTGCTAACGTAATTAGGGAGATGTGTACATTTGAGAACACTTTAGAAGTAGAAAATGTGTTAATTTAGAAAAAACCTGTGCCCCTGGTCTTTGTAGAGTTCATTTTAAAAATTAATAGAAAATAGCTTTAATCTGAAAGATAGTTGGGTTGACCTGACTTTTGGATTGACTTGCAGTCATCAGTTGGCTGGCCTTTAGGGCATCTATGGAAACATAGTTTACCTATAATACTTGTGTCTTTCTGTTGAAAAAAAAAAAATCTGCAAAATTAAAACAGTAAATTCAGTACTCATAATTTACTGAAGCTAACAAGGACATTCATGATTTGTGCATAATCTGTTAATCTTAACAAGGTTTTAAGCTTTGCAAATTTTTCACAAAGTTAAAGGCATTGCTCAACTCTCCTAGGATCTTAAAATTCTTTTAGGGAACCTGCTCTGATTGCCCTAGGTAAAAGGAGATCTCTTGGTCTCCTCGAAATTTCATTAGCATTTGTTGATATCTTAATGTGGAGTAGGCCGGCTCTGCTGTCTATGTTTGTAATCTCATTGAAACCTCTTAGTCCATTAAAGTAG